CTATTACTTGATGTGTTAACGGGTCGGGTTGCGGGTTCGGATTTGAATTGAAGATATCCGCGGGTGACGGGTAGGGTTTGGTAGTCACCCTAATGGGTTCGGGCGGATGCGGGTTGGTAAAACTCGACCCGTGCAGGACTCTAAGGTGGGGTACACCCTGGATAGGTTGCTACTCCATCACAGGGCTACACAGAGATAAACAGGACAAACAACCATTCACACTCAAACCTAAAGAGAATTTAGAGAAGCCATTTAACCTAACAGTCATGTTTTTGGACTGTGGGAGGAAGCTGGAGTACCTGGAGAGAACCAACGCATGCTCAGGGAGAACATGCAAACTCCAAGCAGAAAGACCCTGGGCCAAGAATAGAACTGAATAAAATCGTATACAGATAAAAGATACAGAGAAAAAAAAGGGAGGTGAGAAAGACAGAAGGGCTCAAGGATGAAGAGAAGAGAGAAAGATGATATAGAAAATTAGGAGAAGAAAGGAGAGAAAAGACAACAAATCACCTGCATAAGATGAGAGGGACAGAAAACAGCGTACAACAGCTAATCAGATACAATTTAAATGACATGGTAATGCATCAAAGATTGGCATTTTTTGTTGTATTATTTTCAAAACCATTAGTTGGTTCTTTATCATTTTGGTCAATATAAGGAGCCACTTGTGGCTCCAGAGCCGCAGGATGTAGATCCCTGTGTTAGACAAAGGGTGCTCCATGTTTTTAAACACTGCCTCACAAAGTGCTGATACTGTTTCAATATTTCCACATTTCTTTGTGTTAAAACTACAATGGCTTTTAATGTGGATGTTGCCTATAGAAAGTGTTCAAGTGAAGGAAAAGAATAGACTGTTTTAAAAGTTTTACCAAGTGAAGTGACGCATTAATTTGCACATAACAGCCTGACTAAATACTTTGTTGAACCGCTTTTCACTGCGAACAGCTGTAAGATACACATAAAAAGGCCCCAAATATTTGCCTTGGCTCTTTAGCTCATTAGAACTGGAGTGTCTTACCACACTAATCATTAAGTCATTCTCTGTTGTATTTAAGCCTTGACTTTGAATGGGCCACCTGAATATGCTTTGATCTAAACCATTTCCTTGCAGCTCTAGATGTTTGGACCTTTAGACTGTCCTGCTGGAAGTTGACCCTCTTCCACATTCTCATCCCCTTTGTAATCTTTAATTTGCTTTATTTCAGTTTTTCCCTGTATTTTACTGTCTTTCCCTTAACAGTGACTGGCTTTTTGCACATCTCCACAGCATGTTGCTGCCTCCCATGTTAGCGATGCTGATAGTCTTGAATTACAGGTCTTGTGTGTGTTGGAGAAACTTGATTTGCTGTTTTTACTAGAAAGGTTGGGAAATGTTGATTACTGTTTACAGGTATTTAAAGGTCTGAACTGGATCAACAATCTGACCTTGCATTTTAAGTGGTGCTGCTGAAACAATACTTTATGCTTTACTCTTTGGTTGTTGAGCTCCAATAAATGTTCAAGAAACCTGCTCTGCTATAACCAGAGCAGTGTGACATGTGCTTAAAACGTACCTTACTTTTACTGTTTTATTAGATGTTATTACCATCAACGGGGAAGACAATAGAAGATATAAGCTATCTATTGAGAGAAAAAAAAGTTAAAACCAGCTTTCTTAACTTTATATTACTAAAAATCACCTGTTGTGATAAAGAGATTAAGAAATTTTCATAAAGGTTAGAGCAACAGGTTATACATGTCTAAACAGTTAAAATTCTGGTGTTTTAATGTGCTGTGTTTAAGGATTTAGTATAGTGTGAAAACTTGTTTCCTCTAAGAAATTTGTTGCCTTATGATGAGCAAACAGAAACTGATGCAGATTGAAATCAGGTCCAATAAAAAAACACACAACAACCTTTACAACATTATAGCCACTGGTCTGTAACCTTAGGTCCTTATTATCTTTTAGCTGCTTTGTGAAACAGAGTCCATAAGGTCAGAAAAAAAGCACAAGAAATATATTTAAAAAATTTCTGTTGATTTATTCTTAATTTCCTTTTAAAGATATTAAAATGCACTGAGGTAAAATATCACGTATTTTTTTTATCTAACATGTTCTCTCTGTATAATAAAATCGCAGCAAAATAATTAATTCCAGTGATTGAAAATATATATGCACTTGAACCTGAAGTGTAACTCACACTGACAGCATTTATTAGTATTAACTTGACAGCACACTCACACACTCACACTGACAGCATTTATTAGTATTAACTTGGATATCTCAACAAATGTACAACTGAACTGTAGGCGAGGGTGTAAAAATAACCACCCTTGCTTCCACCCTTGCTTTCACCCAAAATCCACAAGGTGCTGGAAGCGAAGATTACAAGCATTCTTTGAGTCCCCGGGCTGAAAGCCTCTCATGGTCAGAGGCTTTGTTTGGATTGACTTGGAACAAGATGGTGATCACCAGGTGTTAATCTAAAGTGAGGACCTGAAGATTGGTTTTCATGGTGGGAGGAGAATAAGGGGCTGATGTGTTGCTCATATTAAAAATTATTACAACATTGTTACAAGCAACAGCTTATTTGGTTTTCCTTTCACCTTTTCCTTAATTTACCTCTTCTTGTTTCTGGTAAAAAAAAAGTCTTTCTTGTATTTTCAACTGTTTTCTAGCAAAAAAATAGATAAATAAATTGTTGAATTATAATTGGATTTAGGATCATAGAGGAACTGATAGATATTCCTGCCTACGTTCACTCTTTGAAATGTCTAAATTCCACTTTTCCTCCGATGTCTATGCTTTAGGAGAAAACTACCTCCTCAAAAATGAGTTTTCAAATTAGTGAAAAATGCAGATTGAAAAAAGGGCATTTATTTATAGATCTTACTTCCTGTTAGCCATTTTGCTTACAGATCCTCATACTTCTAGGAATCCTTAATTTCAGAAGACATTTTCTGCCATTTCTGTATCCTCCTTAAAGTGCATGAAGGACATGACTCAACAACCTATCCTTTGTCCCCCCAGAGCCAGGAAAAGGTCCCAGAGTTGCAAACTGGAAACAGCCAAAGCAGATGGATCACAACTATGCATGACTGTGTGTCAGATGACGTGGGAGAATAACTGATCTTTTCTCCTCTTCCTGCTCCCTGTCCTCAGATAAACCAATGGATCTAAAACAAGAAGACACAGAGTCCACCTTAAAGTCATTCCACCCAGTCACACCCAAACCAAAGCTTAAACACAGGCTGCAGTCAACCACAGAGGCCCCAGCAGTTAACAGTAAGAGCTACACAGTCTTTTTAACGACTAACATGAGTCATTGCATGCACTGGACAATGAACCAGAGATTGTCAAGCTTGCATATTTAAGCATAGTTTTGATCAACAGAGAGAAGGAAGACAAATGTGAGTACTGAAGATCTGAACATAGGCCAGAGCAGGTGCTGCTCTGGAGTGTTGTAGAGAAAGGCCAGGACTGTAAAATAAAAGGACACAAAGAGCTGCCAGGGACTCCTGGCTGAGCCCATCTAACCCCATCTCCCATCTGTTGTTTCCTTTTTAGGCAGTCGTTATGATCTACATGAAAACTCCTCCATCTTCAGCTCCCTGCCTGCATCAGAGGTGGACATCATGGGAAAGAAACGTTTTATAGGTAAGGTTTCATTAGGATTGCCTTGTAACTCTACCAGCATTAAACCATTAACATGCTTCCTGTTTCTGTCTGTAGCTCCTCATGTCATCTACAAGACGGATAAGAAGCCAGACGAACCATGCTCCATCACCTCCTCCCTGGCTTACTTCCCTGATGAGGAAAGCAGTGATGTGAATGTGACTGGTCCTCCTCGCATGGCACCATCCAACCTCACTGTGGTTACTGTGGAGGGCTGCCCGTCCTTCGTTATTCTGGACTGGGAGAAAACTGATAATGAAACCAGAGGTAATGAGCAGGAACCTCGTTTTACAGCAAAAATAGTTGCCAACCCGTAGTTGTAAAGTAGCTCAAAATCTGTAAATTAGACTGAGAGTCTGTGAACATCAATATTCTTGCCAAAGTTTCTCGATAGGCCATTCTAACACTGTCATGGGGAACTTTCCCTGTTTTTAACTTCATCCAACTTTCCCTCAACTCTTACCGGCATTCCTTTCCCTGCTTTAAAGGTATTGTAGAGGATTTTCGCACTACTTTTTTTAAGACCTGCCCTCTCCACTTTAAAGAAAAATCAACATGCACAACCCTTTACCCGCTCCCAAGAGGGAACACCTATTAAACACGTGTGACAGCATGCATAAACCCATTTCTCCTCATGTATGCTCTGTTTAAAAGTTGCTGTTCTCATAGTTCATACACGCTTACTGTGCCTGAACGTCCGCCCTAACCCCTAAATCCCTCAATCACTATATAGAGCGGGGACTATATAGTGGACTTTATAGCAAACTCAGTTAGGTTACTGTTCGGACAGATGATCACTGCTTTTTGCTCCCCATTGGTCATATAACTCCTCCTCCACTGCACAGTGCCTGCGCCATCTTTGTTATTAGTCACCGCTGTCAGGTAGCAACATCCTATGGTGACAGCGGGCCGCTGTGACAGCAAATCCCATAATGCTTTGCGAGGAGAGCTCTCAGAGCAAAGCATTCTGGGATATATCTGCCTTTTTTGAGGCCTTTCTTTTCTTCTCATACACTTCGTAGACACTTTTTCTCATACGACCCTCAGCCATTTTTAAAGAAGCAGTGAGAAAGGTGAGCTTCAATGACTGTCTGAAACTGTAGCTCACCACAGATATACGCCTGAAAGTGCGCATGCGCATAAAAAGATGGCTAACTGGGGACAAACATGTAGGACGGTGTTATGTAAGCATATATACAGAATAATTGCCAACTAGGAGGACCACTTATTAAGATGATCCACCCAGAAATAAAAAAAATCCATACCTTTAATAACACACCCCAACAGAATAATGCTGCCACCACCATGTTTCAATGTATACAGAGTGTACATATACTTAGATATTTAGAGTTGCTTTCCCTACACACATAGCACTTCACGCCAGCCAGGGTGTTCATTGAGTTCTTCTTATCTATGAAGAGCACCGTCTTTTAAATATTTTCTGCATCCCATTCCTCTTATTGCCTTTTTCCCAACAGTGGCTTTCCTCTTTCAAATTTTCTACAGCAGCCAGATTTATTAAGGTAACAAACATTCACTTGAGATATTTTGAATGGAAGGTCATATCTTGTTAAATTTGCCTTTGTTCCATACTCTTCATATTCAGATGAACTAGTTTCTATCAGTTCTTTGGGCTTAATGGTGCTATATTCAGCAGTTAGGTTGTTGGGGTCCTAAGGTAGCCTCGTGAGACCATCCTGATCTCGCAAGCTTTCAAGATTTCCCTCGCTAATCAGCCTCGTTGAAGAGAATTTGGAGCCGTTCACCAAACGAACGTCCAATCATCATTGGCTTTGAGGCGGGTTGAGGTGTGACGCAACGAGAAGCGCGACAGTTCAGTCTAAAGAACATGGCGGCTTCAGCCGATGAAACTAGCGTTAGCGTGGCTATCCAGCAAGTTTTATCTGAATTACAGAGTATTTCTTCACTGAAAGAAGAGCAAAACACTGCTCTGGAGGCTTTTCTCAGAGGAAAAGATGTTTTTGCTCTTCTCCCGACTGGTTTCGGCAAGAGTAGTCTGGCTGTTAGTACGTCATATGCTTCGTTGATCTGATTGGTTTATTTGGCCCGTCTATCACCAACATAGGCCAATCTGCTAACCAGTATTTTCGCCCCTTCCCAAAATTACTTCAACCGAAGGTTTCCGGAGTCAGGTTAGGTCTGGTTAGGTCCAAATGCCTACAAATGTTGATATTCATACTTCACATCGTCATCACTTTATATAAAGAAATTCTAAAATGTTGACAGAGGAAATGTTAAAACGGTTTCTTTGTCTTTTTTTTTTATTTAGAATATGAGGTGGTGTCAACAACCACAGGACCAAACGGTCAGAAGGTTTCCATCCTGACTACCAACCAGACACACACAGCGGTGGAGAATCTCACACCGGACAGCAGGTTTGCAGCAAAAACTCTACAGAATGTCTCATACGTCCATCTATCATCTGGCCGAACTGCCTCTAGCTTCATATCGTCAAAAAATACAAAGACAGGAGAAATCCATTAAACGGCACCAGAGAGCTTTCCGTGTGCTTTTTTTCCAGTACGCCGCATTATGCCTGCACGCAGACAATGTTTCCCACAGACACCAAAGCTGAGGAAAGATGTGTGGAGATTAAATGGGTCACTGAGATTTAAAGAATATCTTAGAATCTCTGGATACTCACCAGAACCCTCCCCTGTTGGGCTGGTTTGCTCGGCAGCCCTTTGCCAACACATCTGAAAGCAGCATGTGGAATAACGATCTCTTGTGTTTATATGATTTTGTGTGCTCTGGTTTAAGAGTAAGCCCATGCTCATCTGTCAAAGACATTAAAATCTGATGCTTCCCAGCTCAAGAGAGGGATGGTTTTCTGATTAAAAAAGACTTACAGTTTATATTAGGATATCTAAATCACTTTTATTCCTGTACATGACTCTTTTAATTGCTTTTTGCCATTGATTTTGTTTTATTTCAGTTATGAATTCAAAGTTACACCGAAAAATGAGCTTGGAGCAGGACCATCCAGTGAGCCTGTCACTTTCAACACAGAATCAGGCAAGCTCTAAAAGAACATCAGATAAAGCCTGATGCTTTTTCAATTCAAAGAAAAAAACAATATCTGAGCATTTTGATCCATTATACTACTTCCTTTTTTTATAATGAACACATTTTCTTTGTAATTCAGAACGAAGTAGTAACAGTAAATATTTTAACCCTTCTGATGGTCTAAACTCTTCTTTGCAGCGGATCCTCGTGTTAGCGAACAGGCCACAGGTGAATATTTAATTCCTTTCTCTCTGCAGCCTCCACTTTCCCTCAAGTAATGTATTAAAACCTTTTGGTTTCCCCCTCAGGAAAAGATGCCATCTGGACTCAGTTCCCATTTAAAGCCGATTCCTATTCTGAATGTAACGGAAAGCAGTTCATAAAGAGGACTTGGTACAGAAAATTTGTGGGAATCCAGCTCTGTAACTCCTTGAGATACAAGATCTACCTGAGTGAATCCCTCAATGGTATTTACATATGAAGCATGAACCTGATATGAATGACATACTAGAATTTGAACCACAGCATGAAAAACTAACAAGCAAATGTAAATATTACAAGTTATTAAAGATTGCGAGCTAAATCTTGACCATTTAACAGCATTAAAATGGAGCAGCTTTCGAGAACAAAATTTCAATTCCTCCTATTGCAGGGAAGTTTTACAACATCGGGGATCAGACAGGGTTTGGTGAAGACCACTGTCAGTTTGTTGACTCCTTCCTGGATGGTCGGACTGGAACCCAAATGATGGCTGACCAGCTACCAAGCAGGCAAGGTATGGTTCGAGTCAAAACCTTAGATCATCATGATATCAGCATCAATAATTAATTCATTTTTGGCTTTAAATGATCCCTTTCAAATGTTGTTTTTCATTTCTGTGCACAGATTTCATTAGATTAAAAGGACAAATCCTTAATCTATTATAGAACAGAAAGTAAATGTCAAATTTAGGTATGATGCAAACTAGCAGCATGAAGCACGATTGAAAGTACCATAATTATGCACATTTTCCAGTTCTGGGCATTAATATGATGTTATGGGGTCTGTTTTAATAACATATCTTTGGATATCTTTAGATTTGACAGAAAATTCAAGGTATTTTGAAATCATCTCAATGCTGTGAAATGCTACAGGTTATTAACAAACTGACTGCTTGCTGGTGGCAAAGTCTTTCCAATAAAAAATAATGGTGCATTAAGAATTTAGATCAACCTGCATCTTTATTGCATTAGGACCCAAACCAATGTATGTAGATTCTTTTTAAAAATCCATAAAAGGTCTATTACCGGTAATCCTCTTAGCAGAATTGGTAGTGATCATTTCTCATTAGTTGGATCTCTTGCATAGTCAAACATTTGAGATCAGTTCACCCATTTTCTCTTTGCTTGAATTGTGGGCAGTGGTAAGGGTATTCCACAAGCTACGTAAATGTTAACCTTCTTTTATATTTGGCAAAAACATTTTAAAATCGTTCAATTCAGTTTATTTATATAGCGCCAATCAACACACATAATCTTAAAGCCCTTTACAGAGAGAATTCAACCAGATCATACAGTGAGATTGGTTCAAAGTTTTCTATCTAAGGAAAACCAGCTGATTACATCGACTCATTGAATCGAAAGCAATTCCTTCACACCAAGCTTCCTGTAGGGACAGTGGAGAGGAAAACTACCTTTTAACAGGAAGAAACCTCCAGGTCTTGACCCCCAGTCTGCCGAGGCCGACTGGGGTTCAAGGAGAGAGAAGCAGACATAGAAAAAGAAGCAGAGATACAAAAGGCAGCTCTCAACCAGCTTCCCAGGCGGCCCCGTACAGGAAACACACAGCTAGGCAGACAAGCTCCGAGCCAGCTTCCATGTCAGAGCATGAAAGAGAGATAATACAGTTAGTCACAGTGAGAGAAACAGCACTACAGCTCCAACATCTATAAACAAAGGCATTGATAGAAGCAGCACAGCTGATATTTCTATCCAGGATGGAGTCACAGCCAAACAGGAACAGACCAGATGAAGCTAAAGCAGAGAGATTGCAACATTAGAGATTTAACTAAAAATTACTGCAGAATGACAGAACAGATATAGAATTATGCAAATGATGAAAAGGGGTCCCTATGTCCTCCAGCAGTCTAAGTCTGTAGCAGCATAACTATAGAGACAGCTCGGGATAGCCTAAGCTTTGATAAAAAGTCAATATAATCATCTGGTCCATTCCTTTCTAGCCTTCTTCTGACTTCTGTCTGCTCTCTGTTTTACTCTTCTAAATAGATTTTTGTTCCATCTCTTCAACTGTTCTTCCCATCAGTGTTCCAGTTTTCCTCCACTCTCATTCCGTCTTCTTTCTCTCTCCTCAGCTATCAGTCTTACACTACCCTAAAACAGAGACATTAATCAAAACCACTTCCAAAAACATTAGATTGTAGAACAGGAAAACATATTATTATATCATCTGATTAAATAAGCTTTATCATAAAGGAAAGTTTTATGACTTCCGTTAAAAGTAGACAGGGCGTCTGCCTTACGGGCTAAAACTGGTAGTTTGTTCCACAGGAGAGGAGCCATTCAGTCTTGTTTGAACATCCAGTGGTGCCAAATTCCCATGCTGGAGATTCAGCATGAGCCAGGGTAGAGCCAAGGCTGATGGTTTCTAATGACTGCGGACAGAGATACTGGAACCTCAATGTCTCTGTCCATAGCAAGGCCAGATTAATAAAAAATATATTGCAAATAATGTGCAACTGCTTGGGAAGACTTATCCAAATGTTAATCAGGCTTTATGTGTAGATTTTTTTTTTTTTTATGATTTTGGAATGTTTGTCCATTTGTTATATGATTGAAGTTGTTTGTTTTACTATCATGCCAGCCAAAAAAAGAGTTTATAAGTTAATAACCAAGATCATTTGAATTTAAACTTATTATTCAAACTTACAGTTTATTTCTTTAACTCAGCTTACTAAGTAAAGCACTTTAGATAGAATAGACACATATTGGTGTTGCTTTTATTTATGTTATAATGATTCTCCATTTACAGCTATTTAAAACACATTTAAGATCAGAATATATCACACAAAGAGACATTAATAATACAGACAAACTCATTTTCAATACCTTCTTGAAGGTTTCAAAAGCGTCATAGGAATCTATATTTTAATTTATGAAATAAAACCTCATATTATCATCTGACAGGAAATTAATTCTGTCATCTCTTGCAATGAAGCTGCTGATCTCCTCCATGTTTGTTTTTTTAGGGTTCTTCAGAGCATTGAGACAGGAACCGGTCAGCTTTGGAGACATTGGAGGAAAGTCTCACGTCACGTACGTCGGCTGGTATGAGTGTGGCACCCCCATACCTGGAAAGTGGTAGATATGCCAAACGTTTCCCCTGGATGATGAATTTATCTGCCGTAAGAAGAATGATGAGATACCTGCTCGGGCATGATGGGAACGAACCCATCTTGTTGGACCGCTACATGTGTTTGATTTTCCCCTGCAACTTTTCAGGTGTGAACATTCTGAGGAGCATTGGGTCTCTAAAAACCCAACAACATTTGTCTATTTATGAAAGAAAAAAGAATTTCACCGTGGATGACAGTAGGTCCAGACAAAACCAAAACAGCATGCAGTGCTCATAACGATACTGTTGGGAAGCTGGCTCCCAAACTGTATTAACTCGGTATTATTTATCAAAGGTTTGTTAATGAACAGTGTGCGTTCATTCAGACGCCTGATGCTAAAGGAGAAAAACACATCCAACTCTGGTCTGTGGTGTGTTGGTACAGAAAATACAACATTCACAGTACATATGCAGTGCAAATACACACATCCAGAATGGTGCTTCTGCAGTCACTGAGGGTTTAAAATCAGTTGTGGATTGCACACTTGTTAAACGTCTGTTCAGATATGTATATGGTGTGAAATATGATACTTTTCTCTGGTTTAGTACATTTTTTGTCGCTTTAACAGAACTTAATCTAATGTAGGAATGCCAAAGTTCAGTAGCAGTATTTGAGATTTTTATTCTGTTTTGTTTTAAAGGCAAGTACGAGTCAAATCTATGTAGCTCGTAAATGTTAATTGTATAAAATATACGAAATGTAAATAACTTGAAAATCTTCATACATTTCTTTACTGATTTTACTTGCTTATTGTGCAGTTTATGACTCCAGCAATAAACCTCATTTTTATACTTACAGTTTGTGGTTTCTTTATTGTTACTACTTTGGGACAGTTTTAGATAGAGGTTTTCATCTTCCTCCAACCAACATGTTAAACAGCAGAAGAGACTGGTGACCCGATCCATAGAAATATACTATGGCATATTAACAGAAGCAGCTTAAACTGCCAACAAACCTTTAATTTATTGCACAAATAAGCTTTTAAAGGTATTTCTGAAGATGATCTCAGGTTAATATGATGTGCCAATCTGAGTGGGGGCTTGTTCCCAACTTTGGAACCCATAGTGTAACAAAACATGGTTGTTGAATCGATCGAATGTATAACTTATTTGGCTGCAATACTTTAAAACAAGTGATATTTTGCTTTCATATAATCAGTCTCGTTAAAAGAAAGCAAGTAATGATTTTAGTGGTGCTGTTATATTAAGTATTGGTGTTAATTTTACTCCAAACATCTCAAACACTAATCTTTATTAAATGCTACGGGGCCAGAGAAGAAGTTTGGTGGCTACAGTGGTTTAGCCTGTTGCTCAGCACTGCACAATGGTGAGGAGGAGGGGGCCTTGTGCACACTACTGAGGAAAGGAATTCTCACAAGAACCAAAACACCAATTAAACAATAAAACAGTGGGAGGAATTTCTATTCTAAAGAAAAATGAAGGAAGCTTGCAATCCAATCAGCACCATAAGGTCCTGTGACCACAAACAGCAAATAAAGCAGGTGAAGTGTCTTGCCCAAAGAAACGGACACAGACAGTGGGGGCTTGAACCAGCAACCTGATGATTGGCTTCTGAGAAACAGTCACCCTTAGCTCTAGCAGAAAATGCACATTCTTTGCACCACTAGGGGTTTATCTGTGACAGTCCCTTTAACTGGGATACAGAATCAGAAATATATATATATATATATATATATATATATATATATAGGTAGATATACACCTATATATATACACAACCAACCACACAAGATAAAGATAAAATATATACACATATAGCTCTTCTGTATATATATGTATATATATATGCATATGTAAAACTAAATCCAAGACAACCCCCATTAAAAATCTCAACTTGAACAGTTTCCTTCAGTCTTTATCAGTCAGTAAATATTCAGTTCAATCCAATTCAGTGTCTGTATATAGTTTTGTAAAACTGAACATTTTTAGAAAAAGCATTTCTTTCAATTTCATTGTTTCTCTGTATTGATCTATTTAATACATCCCCATTAAATTTAATAATTTTATTTTGAGACATATGAAATATTTCATAAATGTTTTTAACTTTAACCTTAAAAAAAAAAAAAAAAGAAAGTTAACTCAGGACAGTTATAAACAGACCAAAAAAAGTTATATAACCATAAGTATAACATGACGCGTCTGTATATAAAAACAGGAACAATCAATGTTATAAGGAAACATGCATACATTAAGAGTTTACTTCTTTCCAGCATAGAAAATAAAAAATGTGTTAACAGCTGAGAAGAGACGTTACGCTCCTCTAAATTATTAACAACCTCATGTATTTAGGCAGTTCCTCATGGCAGGCCAAACCACATACTCCCATGTCACAACTCACAGCCAACCACAACCCACAGGCAGGAAAACAAAGCAGGAATACCAGCATTACTGCAGTTTTTCCACAGCAGGGTGAGAAGCGGACGAGCCAAACCAAACTTCTTTTCAACTCACAAACCATAGAAAAAGAAGATTAGGAAAACAAAAACACAGGATATAAAGTGAAGCATTAAGAAAAGACAAACGAATCAAACTGGGTCTTAATTCTTTATTAGATTCAAGAAAAAAAAAAAAAGAAAAGTTAACATTTTTACATATACAGCTAATCTCACTTGAGAGGAATCTTATTTGATATTAGTAAAAACCAGTGAGAACAGATATTAATACCAACATGGTGGTGAAGTTAATCAAACAGAGGAAAAAAAAAAAAGAAACAAAACTAGGTTTCTTTGTGATAGTGTCCTACACAGTAAGCTCACAGCTGTTAACTTCATCACCGACTCCGACCCCAATCGCAAAACACTTTATTAAGAAAAGGATGATAAACAGTTTGTGCAACGGCATGTTTTGGTCTCCGAAGTGTGTGCGCAGAGACGGGATGCTTTGTCACGATGATGGACACAAAAGGGCAGGAGGAGGAGCATACATCAGGGCCAAACAGAGAGGGGAGGACCAACAGCAAACAGACTGGGATAGAGGGGCGGCCAGTCTTTTTTCTTTAATAATTGGGCTTGATATTTGTATGGAGCACAGAGCAATATACCTTTTCCCTGCACACATCTTAAACAGTTGGAGCCACATAATGGGGTGGAAGGGGGGGGTGTTGTTATTATCACCCTAACCCTCTTTTACCGATACCCGGGACCAGGCTGAGTGTAGCCCTGGCCGTAATGGGGGCGGTTGCGAGCGTAGGGGTTACCAGCGCCAGGTGGGGGAGTGACGGCAGTGCCTGGCGGTGGGGTGAATCCCGGGCGGGTTTGAAACCCCGAGCCGGGTTGGGAGCCAGCTGGCATGCTGTAGTTGGCAGGCTGGGAGCCCTGGGAGGTATAGTTTTGGGGAGGGAAGGCTCCTGGTGGGTATTGTTGAGCTCCCTGAGATGGATGAGGCTGCTGCTGTTGCTGTTGCTGCTGCTGCCCGGTCTGGAAACCAGGAGTTGGGGCAGGACCAGGGCCTGGAGCCTGAGAGGAGGGCGGAGGGTAGTTCTGAAACTGCTGCTGCTGCTGCTGAGGCTGTGGAGGGCCAGGCTGAGGAGCCCCAGGCTGAGAACTATATCCAGCTAAAAAATAAGAGTTCTCATTAGTGTTCTCAATGGGTTAAATGAAGTAAAAACAGCAGCTGCCTGATTTTTTCTAAAGTCTTCCATCTTACCAGGGTACTGCATACCGTACTGCTGCTGCGGCGGTGCGCCTGGCTGCTGTGGAGGGTATCCACCTGGAGCCTGGTACTGCTGATACACCTGACCTGGAGATGCAGGTGCAAACGGCATTGTTACACAGTTATTACACACACTTTGACAATAAACTGGCTACCTACTACCCAATACCAATATAACCTCATTTACACACCCAGATGGATTAAAAGTGACATAAATGAAAGATCATTATGCCCCAATTTTTTTTAGCTCAAGCCCTAAATCTGACTGCCTTCAACTTACTTTGCATTGCAACATGCAAACTTCTCAGATTCTCCACTTTAGAAGCTTTCAAAATGTATTTATATAAAACAGAAAAAAAAGACGACCTGAAATATGTTTGTCAAATTATTTTAAAAAGATCAGAAGATATCTGATATGTCTGTATGATGGTCTGCTCAAATCTTAAGTAAGCATCTGAATTTCTAATCTTTGACTTTTTTATTCAAGAAAGGACAAAAACAAATCCTGTTCAAACACAAAACAGCTGTGTGATTTCAGATTTAGAAAGAAACACACAATCCATTGCTTGCTATACTAATTGATCACTTTTTCCATCAACTGTTCAAGTGTGTGACACACAAGCAAAAACTGGCAAACAAATGCTAGTCCTAAAAGAGTTCACAATCCTGCTTCCAAATGTCCAAGTTATGGAAAACAGTCCCCATGTAAAAAGGCTCTTCAAAAGATGTTCTGCTGTTCAGGAGTAAATAAAAACCAGCAGAAATAAATAGGAATAGATTTTATGGTCAGTTTCCTACTGCTGCTATGGTAAAGCAAAGTTGATTCCTCTTCCAGAACTATAAAAAAAAATACATACAATTGTGCAGCTACATCTCTAAATATTTTAAGTGAAAAATGTAGAAGCAAAACAAAGCAAAGATATTTTTTCCTATAAAGTTCTCATAAGAAACCTGCGTAGAAAGCCAATTCCCTGCCAGGCGTGTCAAATCAGATCAGTCGTGATCAAAGGAGAAGTCAGCAAAATTCCAGCACTAGGTGGGGCTAATGAGCACCGTCTGTGGAGTCCCCTTCCCTCTACTACAGCTGCTTTTTGCTTGTTTTCTATGGCGTCACATTTATTTTACAACACCTGTGAGCAAAATCAACACGCTTGCATGTATGTAAACTACTTCTGCGCATGGTTCAACTATCACCTCCTCCCTATTTGGGCTTTGCAGACACAATCACACAGGAAGTAGTGTCAGGAAGCCCTTGACTGACAGCTTGTTATCCATAAGTGAAGACAACGGCTGGAGGCAGGTGAAGACGAGTAGTGGAGGCTTCGCCACTGTTTGTGGTACGCATGTCAGGAGACTTGACCAAAGTTCTTTACACTACATTCAGTCATTCACCCATTCACACACACACTGATGGTGGCAAGCTACATTGTAGCCACAGCTGCCCTGGGGCTCACTGACAGAAGCGGGGGGGCCGTACACTGGTGCCACCGGGCCCTCTGACCACCATCAGTAGACGGTGCAGGTGAAGTGTCTTGCCCAAGGACACAACGACACTTTGACGCCAGTCAAAGGCTTACTTCCTGTGTCTGCAAGGCCCAATCAGGAGGAGGCTTACAGAAGAGCTTCATCTCCACCCAAACTGTCAAAATATGTTATTCCTTCGTGCAAGAACAAAATCAGTCTGAGGGCAGAAATGCTTTCAAGAACACAGCCGTCCTCGAGTGTGACCGCTGGATAGAAAACCGTGTGCGCGGTGAGATCCTGAGCGCGCGTGGGAAGATCTGGTGCATGGGGAGGGCAATTTTCTTAGTTTCTCGCGCAGGTGTGCTTTTGTTTTGCAATGTTAAATGACCCATGTGCAGAAGTAGTTTAACATACATGAGAGTATGTTTCTTTTGAAATAAATAAAATAAATGTGACATCATAGTTTTTCCTTTCCATTTTTTTTTCCTGCTCAATAATACATTTAAAAAGGAGAGATTTGATAAAAATGTGCATTATTTGTAGTTCTCATTTCGTCAATTTTAAAAGGATTACAGATAGCCTACAACATTTTTGGGGGGTTGATTGTTATCTTTTTTTGTTCCAGCAGAGTTTTTAAAACATTCTCTGCTTTAAATAAAAAATAGCATTATAATAGTTATTAAAAAAAAATAAGTTGATTTTAAATGATATATGCCCTTTAATCCAGGGCGTTTTTAACTCAGAGATGTTTTTTTAGTAAAAAAAGTTTTGTTAATTCTTTTGCTTATTTTTTGTTTTTTTATTTGAAGATTTTATTCATCAATGAAAACATCAACCTAAAAGATGAAACGTGTCTCTCTGCAGCAGTGAGCTGTGCTTTTAAGGCTGGAATTAGGAAACCATTCAGAGGGCCACAAATGGCCCGCAGGTTTGGATTTAATAAATGTTAGAACAAAGGTAAGAATATTACAATATATTGTCTGAAGATCTCACGAAGCTCTGCACTAAAGACAAATACTTGGAGTTTGCTGCTGCCAAATTAACTTTTAAAAACTCTTTCAAAGACGTCATCTCCCATCTACTTGAACATGAACACAGTGATCTTTATTCTAAGAGAAGCCACATGTGTGAAAACATTTTTTTTCTGCCATTGCCATCATCTGGAGCCCATTATGACTTCAGGTATAAAGGAGTGATAGACTGGTCAGAACAATGATTTCACAGAAGGCATTTTTCCCTTTAGAAACCCAATCATGGATACAGAAAGAGTCATCGAAACAAAATCCTTTTTTGAAAAGATTAGTTCAGTCCAAACATAGATCTGTCTGTGTCATAAAGAAATGTCTACTTTTTCGTTCTTGCCCAAATTTAAATCCTTTCCTCGGTTCAATCAGCACCAGAAAAAACAAAGGGCAACATTTTTACCAGTTGTTCACAAATTGTTTTAACAGCGTTCTTGAGTTAACAAGCAGCCTACGCTTCTATTTAAAGTGAACTTCTGGCTAGCGCAAGTGTTCTGTTGGCATCCAAAGTCTCATATTTTACTATATAAAAATCTTGTGCACAGACTGGCTGCTCTGATTTGCCTCAAGGCTGTCAGACGGCAACCACAGAGAGCAGTAAGAGGGTTAAGAGAAGAAACCACAGCGTAAAAGAGCAGTCTGAACAGGGGTGGGTTTATTGTCTTTGTGTGCCAACCATCTGCAGCCTTGGATCTGAGGAGAATAAAACCTACAAGGACAAACTGCTCGTTACTGTATTGGGCCTGGAGACGTATTTAGAAAAAATATATATATTCTAATCACAGCTTTCAATGTATCAGAGGAAAATAAAATAAAAAAACTACTGACATCATAGGGGGAAATGTTGGCTTTATTTAAATTCATATTCCTCCCAATCATGGTGTGCCAGGTTAAGTTCTGGGACTCCAGTCAGATTCAATCACTTGTTTGATTAAAAAAAGCCATAATCATCTTTATTTTAGCATTGATGCTTTGCTGTTAATGTCAGCAGCATGAGCAAAATTTATATTAAGTAGAAAGATTAAAAACACCTGAGAAAATACTCCCCCTCCCATCGTACACCATAGTCCACTATTAATCATGATCAGGTTTTTGGCTGAGGACCGAACATGTCAGAGTCCAAGCTTACAAACCAGGGAGAGCAACTTTCTTATTAGTGACGTAGCCTCATCAGATACTTCTGCTTATTATTTGTTTGGGATTACAATGGAAATTTCTCAGCTCACAAAAAAAGTTGTGAACAAATTTTCAATGCAAACTAGAATGATAAAACAGGATCCAGAAATTACTTTCCCTGAACTATTTGATTTACTTTTCAAACTCTAAACTATTATGATCCAAAACTATCAATTTTCTAAAACAAACAGCAATTAAGCAACTTCAGCACATGAAAAAAATAAAAATAAAGATACTTAAATGGGAGCTGAAGCATTGTCGGCGATTCAAAGAGATTATAAACTCTGCAAAAAGAACCAAATATTCCTCCAGACTAATCATAAAGCTTGTTCTTCTGCTTATGTTAACCAGGCATATGTATACCATTTTCAAACAACAATATGGAATATGTCTAAAGTAGTTTGCACAAATATAAATGCGTTTATGAACTTAGTTTATCAGCAGTATCTTTGATGTCCCGTTTCTTACCATCAACTCCTGCTGGCGGCCCTTGTTGTACCCCAGCATAGGGACCCTGTGGCTGAGGCGGCACTCCTGGCTGAGGTGCTGCAGAGGAGGAGGAAGCAATGCTGTCAGGGGTCCCTGAGCGCTCCTCTGTGGCAACAGCAGGGGGAGCAACTAAATGGATGCAATTTATGGAGAAAAATGAATGCTTTGCAGGAAAACATCCCACCCATTCAAGGCTGAGTAGAGAGCAATACCTGGGGCCTGGTCCTCGCTCAGGCCAAAAGCAGAAATGACATTCTTGTTGACCTCGTCCTGGTTTTTTAACGGGTCAAAAGCCGACATGCTGGCTGCGCTGACTGGAGGAGCCTGTTTCACTGTTGAATCTGCTGTCATAACTTTGCCTTCACGTCCATCCACTGATTCTAAGAGCAAAGGCACACAAGTTTCTTAAAAAGAGCTATTGCAGAAAGTAGAAGATATATATAGATTTTTTTTCCTATCAAGATTATTCTCACTGTAATCTTGGAATTAATCTAGATTTAAATCCCTAATTTGAATTTTGCCAAAGGCATTTATTATATATGTAAGCTACCTCAAAAATTTTAAACAAAAGGTGTACTTTTTTATATTTCCAAAATCACATGTAATTTCGTCTTCTTAAGATTTTGACTTGTAGCTATCCACTGAGCGAGGAGATTGGTTAGCTTTGCTGATACAGCTGTGCTTATAGCTGCATCCATGTTAGCATGTCACGTTCAATGTGGTAATTTCACAGTCCGCCTACACAGGTTGGAAAACTGATTTGTTCTCGTCACCAGATATACATCCGGACTAAACTATCAAGGTGAAAATCATCCTTGGCACAGACCCAGCTCCCTACCCAACTGCTAGAATAGATTAACGGCAATACTTTTTTTAATCACCCGATAAGAGTCTGTCATGAACGCGGCACATTAACGCTGACAAAGGCCTATATATATATATATATATATATATATATATATATATATATATATATATATATATAGCTTAATGACTGTTTTACACAACAAAGCATTTAATTTCTGTTTTAAACACAGACAGCTACCAGTGGTCAGTATCAGATTTACAAAAATAAAACAAGAATAGACTCTTATAAAATCTTTGACGTGGATTCACAAGAGCCTTATTTTGCTCTTGTGAAGAAATGTGGTTAAGCAAGACCACAATCAATCTGGAGAGAACAATCGACTGTAGGAAATGCAGAAAGCTGCTGCAGACATGGTAAAAAAAAAAAAAAGAAAAGAAAACAGCCTTTAACCATTTTATAAACTGTCTCAGTATGGCGCCAGTGTCTGTTTGGGACACAAATTTGGTTAAGTGAGTGTAAAACAAGACAAAGCGACTTTTGGGGAGTTTCTAGTCCTACCAGAGGGAAAGAGAACAAAAGAAACCTGCAATGTGTAAAAGTTGGACCTTAGGCTGAAAGGCTCACCATTGTGAGGTGCTGCAGAAGTCATTCCAGGCTCTGAAGGAGGCTCCAGGCTGTCCAGAAGGTTGTTGACTTTATTCCTGAGCTCAATGAGCTCCCTGCGTAGGTACTTCACTTGGCTGGATTCCAAAGGCCGTGGCTGACCATTCACTGCAGGTAAACCAACCAAGAAGGCCCAAATAAAAAAAATAAATAAATAAAAATCAGATGCGATGGCTTAACCAATCTTTAAATTTTCCATTCGTCAAGTGAGTTGCTATATTCTCCACATTCTTAGCCAGACTTCGTGAGAAGCAAAATAAATCAATTTAAAATGCTAATGTCAGTTAAATTCCCCAGAAATTGAGTCACCAGGCAGTGGATCAGCTTATTCTGAAAAGGCTTCAAGCTGTGAGAAAACTAAAGCTGTACTGCCCTCTAGTGAGCAGTTGATGATATTATCTACAGCAAAAAAATATGCTCTGTTATAGAAAAAAAAACGTGGCCTAGATTTTGGTTAAATAAACATACAAAATAATATCTTTGAGTTTTTGCCTGCGTTGGATATCAAATGAGAAGAAAGAGCTGTAAGAAAATGTGGTGAGAGAAGCAAAGACCTTTGGAGCTTCAACCATAACTCAGCGATTAAGCTTAAAAATCAAACCTCCGATTTTTTCCTACTAAATACAAACAATCAATTTTGTTTTCTCTCTTAAGTTTCCATTATTTTCAAAAACTAGCTCTTATTTCAAATCCCTCCCTCTGAGATGTGACCTTAATTTAAAAGGCAATTCAATTTAAGGGAAACATGTTTGTAAAGCAGTAATATCTCACAACACAAAATAATAATAATAATAATAATTGAACGTCATTAATCTCTCACTGGAGAAATTCCCCTCTGCGTTTGATCCATCCCCTTTGGAAGCAGTGGACTGCCATTGCGCGGGAGCAGTATGGGATTAAGAGTCTTGCTCAGGGACCCACAGTGGCAGTCTGTGGGAGTGGGGCTTGAAATCAGAACCTCTGGGAGCCAAGCACAATGACATAACCACTAGGCATCCACTCCCCAAATGAAAAATGAAAATATAACCAAATGTTTGCAGCTAGTGCTATCGAACAGTAAGCTATTTTATCAGTTATGAGTAGACATCTATACTTAGGACACTAAGCATTGTCAGGGACTCCTCACACCCCCTCCGTGAACATGTATAGGTGCTGCAGCAGGCAGACGCTACCTCAGCGTTGAAATCAGACCAACCACACTGCTGTTAAAAATCTAAGCTTATAGACCTCTCATTAGTGAACCTGTTTAACGTCTTGATATACTAAGTAGTGATGATTCCAGGGAAACGCTGTCTGGTTTTGATGTATTATATAATCTGCTAATTTAAAATACAAACTGATTTTACCAATGTTGCACACAGCAATACAAAGCATTCAGTAACCACATGGTTAGGCTGGTTTGCTGTATGAGTCTCTCCTATGACCGTCAGCAGTTTTAAAGTGTTTCTGTGTGTGCAGAAGATTACCCTGAATGCAAAGTCAATGTTTTTTTCAAAAACAATGGCCACTTTTAACTGTGATCTTCCCATTGTCAACTGACTGAAGAATAAATGGAATGGACATGTTTCTATTTTTTAGGGTGTAACCTTGGTTATGTTGGCCTTCCTGAGTTCAAAAACATAATCTATGCATTCAGAGTAGAAACCCCTCCCCGAAGAAATTGAATCTGCAGAACAAGTTTATCTTAACGGCTCAAAGTTAAGGTTTCGCTGTGAGAACACAAATGCTCGGCCACCCTGGCTGATGAAATGTCCCGTGGCTAGAAAACCTGCTCAGTTTCTGGAAAAAAATTTTTTTGAAACGCAGCAGGAAAAACAACTCACCAAATAATGTCAGTTTGAGTATTCTACTGCACTGGATTGCAAATGAGAGGTCAGAGCTGTCAAAAATGGTGATGAGGTCATCATCTGTAAACAGAAAGAAGTGAAATTAAAATGATATTACTTACAGAGAAAACGAGCTGAAATTATAATTTATTATCCTCCTTTTTTCCATGATGATAACGAGAACTTACGAGCTAAACATGGATCTTAGATGATGCAAACATGACGAGTCAAAGGTGTTAGTTTTGGTTAATGGGTGAAAATGAATAAAAATGTTAGCAGGTGATCTATCAGACATTTAGAACTCATCATTGTGCTGTAATCTGTTAGATAAGCTAAGCAGAATCAGCCGTGCTGCTGCGTCCGGTTTGGTCGCACCCAGCGTGCAGCGATGCACTTTCTGCATGACCACAGATGAATCATAGCAGCAGCGACAGGGGTGAAAATAATCCGGAATGGTCCGGTACTGCAAGCTCAACTCTGCTCTTCCAGCTGTGCTAGTGCGGAAATGCGTCTTTACGCGCACTTAGCTTTGAGTCTGCGCTTTACGCTCTGCACCGATGGTTTGCTCAGATGCACAGTATTTATATTGTAAAAACACTCTACAGTACATTATTTTATTTGTTTTTTTAATACTGTCCCTTATTTTGTTATTTTTATACACTTTTTAAGGCCCACATTTGTCTGACCACTTTTTGCTGCTGTACCACCACAATTTTTTCATTGTGGGACAATAAAGGGATTTTCTATTCCATTTAAACATTTTAGTTCACATATTTTCCAAATTTCGGTCCGGATTTCAATGCCAGTACAAGACTATTATGTAGGTTCTCTGTGCATATTTTTTTTTATATCATACCCCTATGAATTTAAATATACTTTGACCCCTGAGCAGTGGTAACCAAGGGGCAAATTCTTAGAAATAAAGACAAAATTGCCAAATTGTAAAAAGAAGAATGTTTTTGTTCTTCGCTTTTTTGGAGTACTGAAGATTGATTGATCTGTGTGTCATGCATAATTCATAGTAAATCAGGAAGTATTTGCTTTTGGATGAAAACCTTGTATATCCTTTATTGTACATTTTGTCAGCTTGTCTGTCTGCTATATTAACCAACATAAAGGGCTTGAACTACGTCTGCTATTTTCACAACTTCTGTGAGACAATTTGTATAATGTAGGGCTTTAATTCTTAAAAAGTTTATTTGAATTCTATAAATCATGGTTTTCTGCCAACAGCAACGATGTTGGCATGGCAGCATTCTATACCTACCAATCGTAGTATCTAGGCAAGAGCTGTCAGTCTGGTAAAGAATTCGGTTGTTACTCAAAATTTTAAAGTTTAGCTGTTTTTTGAAGTGCAACATAAAACTGGATAAAACTAGACTTTGAGTTTTACTCAAATAAAACTGGATTAAAACTATCACATTAATGACTAAAATGTGACTAAAACTTAAAATAGTTTTTGTCCTGAGGATAAAAACAAAGGCAAAATCTAAGATGGTGTCAAAAACAACACTGTCACACTGCTATGGTAAAGATACAAACTTTGGGTGAAATTGGCCTCCTAGTGTGGAATGAAAATGATTCACCTTCATCTTTGTATTTGATGGTAACCTCATCGTTACTCTGCAACTTTCCCCTGAAGACGCGCTGCATCATCAGCACGAGCTCATCATATGTGATGTCTTCATTGTGGATGGGGATGCGTCTAATGTCATCACCCAGCTGGGCTTTGATGATCAGCTTGCCACTCAGGTCCAGCTGGCCGTTCATGGTGCCGTCTGATCTCTACTGCTCCCACTGCCTTAAAATCAAAGAAAAGGGGTCATTTCAAATGTAACACCAACAAATCAGCCAACAAAACCTTGTTTCTAACCATCTAACTTTGGTTTCTAGCAATTAAAGATAATCATAAAATTTAGCCATAACTATTATTTCTATATTCAGCCGTTCATTTGCCTGTAAAAAAAAAATGTGTTTGCAGACTATACCCTGATTTCAAACCTGTTTGGTGAACGCTTCTTTATCTATGCACAACGACGTTCCAAAAATTGCTGTGTGATTATATAATAAGCCAAAAATGTGGAGCCGAAACAACTGCAAAGTAGGTTAGCAGGTCAGGCAGGTGAGTGCAGTAAGAAGCATGTAGGACTGATATATGTTTCAGTGGAATGGTAACCTGTGTTTAGCTTGTTTTATTTTGGCTGATTAAATTTGCTTTTTTATATATATATATATATATATATATATATATATATATATATATATATATATATATATATATATATATATATATATTTGCTTGGCATATTGTAGTAAAACTGTCAAAGAAATTCAGTAAACTGAAGAGTCTAAGGGTCAAACATCAGCCTGTGAAGTGGCAGAGATAGTGACCAGCTATAACAAATCATGTTGACTTTGACCAAAACGCTCATTGTCATCGATAACAACAGTCATAATGATTTACTAAAATCATTAGGGTTACTTTTATTGTTTCTAACTAAACCTCTATTATACATATTCTTATTTTAATAAACTAAACAAATTCCTCTTAAAAACAATTCATTAAAAAAACTGATCTTCTCAGACCTTTAATTTCCTTCGATTTTAATAACGCATTTAAATACATATTAATGTCAGATCTAAACAGTGCTGCTAAGAAAGTTATGTTGAACAGTATAAAACTAACGAAAATGACAGAAAATATATTTTAATAGTATATTTTTTGTCACTGCTAACAACTGTACAAGAGCATCTATGACATTTACTGATTAATAGACCTAAAAATATTAGTGAATAAAGCACTTTGTGACTGTACAACTGCATTACTGTAGTGAATCTGTATTTGTTTTTTTAGGGTAGCATTTGACCCCATAAAATTAAAAAGAACAGCCTGTCCCCAACTTAAAAAACATATTTTTTAACACTTTTCAGCAGGATTCTGATCTCCATCAAATAAGAAAAACTACCCAATATTAAGATAAATATGAAATCTATCTAGCCAATCCCTCGTTAACATCAAGTGTGATCTAATATGTCAGTTTTTATCTTTCTGTATATTCTGCATCTGAGGATTTAAGCCGAACAAAACCCTCCTGTGGATTTATTTGCAGAAAATCCCACAGCTTTGGCTGTCCTGGAACAGATGAATAATTGGCTGGATGCTAAGGATTGTTATGTAGCTAACGCTTAGCACACAGGCAGAACAAATAGCGACAGCAAGAAACTGGTTGATTCCCTCATTTTGCAGACCAAAAATTTATGGAAACTTAACGAATAAGATGTCGGCAAAAGGCATCCTTGCTTTGCTTAGTCAAAAAAACACCCAAATTAGCATAAAACAACGCATTAAACGGTGAAGTTTGACAATCCAGGCCTCTTCAGTACTTGATTGGAAGCTGTTTACAATAGAAATCAATTAACCTGAACAAACTAAGTTAAGTTTTACGTTAGAAATTCTATATATCACTATAAACCAGTATATGATCATTCTAATGTATTTTTCGTTTATAACAAACGTCAGGGAAGAGCTACTTTGTATCCGTCTATACGTTTAACAGGATTACACATAGATAAAACAGTCAGTTTTTATAATTTGCAATAAATAAGAGTGATATCGGTCTAAATTTGATTCAACATTATACATGTGAGCAATTTAAAGTGAAATTTTGCTGAATCAGTCTCGCGCGGATAGCTACGGCTACATAGCTAGCTAACCAAACCTTATCCAGCTAGCACTAACAACACAGTCTAAGCTCATTGACTGACCGATAACACAGAAAATGCTTTATAATTACAGCCAAACATCCCACCAAATATGACACGTTACCTGAATCAGACGACTTTACCACGCTTTGTGTCACAGGGTTTCCCAAAATCGTGAAACTCTACTTCGTTAGCTGGCCTAGCTAGGCAAGGAACCAGCAATAGGAAGTGTCACTCGGACTGTCAACGTCAGCCAGTACGTGGCACTCCCTCTGCGCATGCGCACTGCGTCCAGAATGGAGAGCATTGAACCATAGACTACTCCTCTCTTCATTGCAGGGATGGACGGGCTCAAATTACATTTCATTGAAATGAGATGATTTCATTGTCAATTACTTCAACAACATAACATCCTTTGCAATTGTGCATAATCCTCTCCGCTGCACAAAGTATGAGGATTTCCCATTAAACAATAACTGTTCCTTGGGATCCCCCCTCCTTTATTGTTATTAAATACACACACAGCCAGTTTAAACAAACCAGTCTATAGGTTTGCATTCTAAAAGACCAATTAAAGCATTCCCAGGACAAAATTTAAAATCTTTTTTAGATCAGACAAAAAAAACAAAGATATAATTAAATAGCAGTTATTACTCCTTAAGGTTAAACTGTCCCTTAACCCTTTATAGGGCAAATTAGCCTTTCTAATCCCTTGCATGCCCCTTACAAATGTAGTCTCCCCCCACCCCCGTCCCTCAGTGAAGTCTAGAAGCACATGATCTATATCCACCCATTCAGCAAAGATACTGCTACATGGCTGTACATTTTGGTATTTGAGCTTTTAGATGAGCCTGTGAATGATATATTACCTACTGTAAATTAAGTTGAAAAAATAGTTATCAAGTTAAGAAAAAAAGGTAAAAATGTAAATGCTCATTGGAGCAGTGGGTACCACTGGTGCCTTGCAGCAAGAAGGTTCGGGTTTGATTCCTGGCTCAGGGTCTTTCGGCATGGAGTTTGCATGTTTTCCCTGTGCATGCATGGGTTCTCTCCGGGTACTCTGGCTTCCTCCCACAGTCCAAAAACATGACTGTTGAAAAATAAGTTATCAAGTTAAGAAAAAAAAAGGTAAAAAGTTATTAAGCCTAGTTAACAATTATATTTATAATTATAAACAAAAAAATATAAGTGCCAGTTTCAGCATTAATCCCTCTAAGGTTATGTTGTACCAAAAAAAAGTCACTCTCAGAGTGTTTTACATGAATTTCTTTTTGAAGCACTTTTGTTATTTTTCTTAATATATTCAGGAAGTAGGCGTTTCTTGTTATTACATAGACTTTTTTTGCCATGAAAATATCCATATTTTTTTAATGTTACAAAGGTAATAAGGTCTTGTCCTGGATTCCAATAACACTATTGGCTTGAAACGTTGATTTTTAATGTATTTCACTGAGTGCCTTATAAAGGGTTAAAAAGAAACTATCATATGTTAAGAAATGGAATTGGGTATCTAATTAAATTCAGATTTGATATAAATGTAAATGGAAAATCCATTCACACACAATAAATGTCAAAAATAAATCTATAATGTCAGTTCGGTAGAATAAAATGTCACGCAAAATGGTCAAACACATTTTCAGTGTGGAGTTAGCTACACTGTTGTGGTAATAACAAATTATTACCTGCAAAAACTGTATTTATTGTTTTCAAATCTCTTCTAAGCTTACTTTAATTTCTCCCAGTATCCAAAGAAGTGCCCCAGAACTCCATATTCTTCTGTTCTTCACTCTTTGTATAAAGTCACTATGATCATTTATCAAATGCTGAATATTTATGCTTTTCAATTCTACTCATGCTAGTCACTCAAGCAAAGAGACATGTTTCCTGCATAGGAAATTTAGCTTCCTTTTATTTTAGAACGAGCATTTAGTTTTTTAATAAAGTCAACTATGTTACCAAAACCAAATGTGTTACCATACACAATGAACTAGTATCATGGGGATGCTTAAAATAACAGAGCAGACAGAAGCTCAGAGGATTATATTTGTTTCTTTAATGACTGATTCTAACTGAAAACAACTGTATGATTATACATAATTTACATAACATGACATAATCAAATGGGACAAACTGTATACATTTACAGATTATGTGTCTTTATTGTAGTGTAAGTATGACCTTACAACTAATCATTGTAACCTGAGTAGTCTCTATCTTTAAAAAAAAAGTCAAAGCCAGCTTAATATTGAAGCAGGTGCAATGTTTTCATTAGTAATTGCTGAGATTAGATTCAAGCAAAGCAGCTGCTTTAAATAATGACTGCTTTTCTACTATCTTAAATATATTATGCTGTGGGACATTTTTGACCAAATGAATAGACCTATAATCTATTAAAAAAAAAAAAAAACATAAATTTTACAGTAGCAAATATTTCTCTTACAATCACTTTTTCTTCTTTTCCTGTGTGGCATCAAACCATGAATCTAACAGTTTTTTCATGTAATAAATCTGCCATGCATGCACTTGAATGGCAACAACCATTATGACGTACATAACAGTCACAGCAGAGAAGCCAAAAATGAAGCGGTAAGCTTTTCCATGGCGATAGAGCTGCTGGGCTAACGGAAACATCTCCATGCCTCCATAAATGAGAGGCGCCACAGAGAAGAGCCCTGCACTGATCAAAGACATGACCAGGTAGCTGATGTTGTTCTTTGGGATTGACAGACTGCTGCAGAACAGTGGAATGATGCTGAGGAGGTAGGGGTACTCCCACTGATACGGTATGGACACTGTGTCATGTGACACCAGGCTGAGATGGCTCACAGTCACTTGTGCAGCCACCAGCAACCAGATAAGAAGGTGGACCCAGTTCAGCTTGCGCACCTCTGACTTCAGCGAAGCACTGAAACATAAAAAGTCAACATTAAGACTTTTATTTCTATATAAAAAGGGAAATATTAGACAAAGAAGCAGTTCACTTGCCTCATCTGGTATTTTGGGGCCACCTTCTCTCTGTGTTTGAAGTCAGTTCCATTTGTACTGACTGTTCTAAGGCCAACACGGGACGTCATTTCGTACAATCCTGTATCCATGGAAAGACTGATTAGATTAGATAAGTAGACAGACAGACAGACAGACAGACAGATGTCATGAGCCTCTCGTCTGTTAATGCTTTTCTTTTCCAGTCTTGTCATTTTAGGAGGATAGCAATTTTTAACAGTAGTTTTGTGTCTTTACTAAACTCTTCTCAAACTGCTTTGTGCTTGTGATGTTCAAAGCAGAAGCTATCAGTGGCGGCTGGCCAATAGAGGGCGCTAGGGCGCAACCCAACCCACCCAATAACCTTGATTAAGTCATAAAAAAACAAATTGAAATTAAATTAGAAAATTAAAATATTTCAAAATATATTTAATATACTTTTTAGATGTGCAAATAAAGCATCATTTCATTTTTCTTCGGATCGGTAAAGTATTGCCGCCATAGGCACTAAAATGTTTGCCCATTGACTCTTGTTAAAAGTTGTACATGTGCAACGCTTTATTCTGCTTTCCCTGCCTCCTTAAATGTCAAGATCTGACCCGGCATGGATAAAGACTGATTTAAAGAACTTTTCAGAAAATGTAAAGAAGAATGAACAATATGAGATTTCCATGGAATAATATAGTGCACTTTTCCTAAATGTTTGTTAATTTGCATAGTTGCTCTTAAATAAACACATTCTCAGAAAATAAATAGTTCTTATATATTAAAAAAATATATAGTTGACTAATAGTTTCTCTGTTTTTAAACTGGTACATTTTTTTTAGGTTTGTGACGCCATATTGGATCATGAAGAACACAGATTTGCCTTCACAAAGCCTCAGAAGGGAAAGATTTATGTTCAAAAGGTAAACCTGTACATGAAATTATGTTTTGTTTTTATTAGGTGTTTTTAAAATGTTTTTTGTTGTTGACATTCATATAAATATACTGGTGTGATAAATTAGTATACGTTTGATTGGTTTTTGGTGTTCATCTATTTTGCTTTTGTAGCCCCCTTGGAGAAAACTCCACCAGCCACCACTGGAAGCTACACCCACCTGCTATGGTCACTATTCTGGATTTAATATTAAGATTATATTACAGTCAGTTGGTGGTTCTGTATTTTGTTTAGATGAATTTTGGTTATTTAATAAAGATATAAATAGATGCCAAACCTTTCAGACTTCATAAAAAAATCAAAGCAAAATTCAAATTTGATTTATACAAATCTGACCCAAAATATCCAAATAAGTGATACTGAATATATTGGTTATATAAATATAAAATACTAGTGAATATGTGTATATATTTATTGGTTTCACTTTTATACCCCAAAAACGATTCCAACAGCTATAGAAAGCGTCTGTTATTACACGGTGGGTCTAAGGTTAGGTTTAATCTATAACTCGGTACAATAGCAGATATGCATGTAAATATATTAACTGCTGCTAAGTAATAAACATTAAAGGGCCGATAATAATATGGGTGTTATGAAGCAGGTTAGCGCATTAGCTGCTCTGGCTATTTCCTGTATTAGTCTGGAACAGCATTAAATACTGGACTAGCTGGGAGTTAGCCCCCTGAACGGTGCTTAAAGGTTGAGTTTTAAACGCGTTTGTTTTATCGGAGCGTTTTTACTTACCTCTCTGGACGGGCTTGGTGGATAATTTGATGAAACAAAAGGTCTGATGAAAAAGGGAGACACGCTGCAATGCGCACGCGCACATCCGGATCGCAGCATCAGCATCTCCTCTGAACCCAGCCGGTTCAGTCTTTGATCTCTGATCAAAGGACACCCGCAGCGGCATTGCATTAAGTTTTTTTTTATTTTTATTTTTTTATGTTTTTTTGTATTCCCATGCTTTAATAAATCCAATTATGCTATTTCTAATAAAATAGAAAAAAAGAATCCCGGCGGGAGTAGAGAAATGTATGCAACATATATAACACGGTGTAGGAACCAATTATTTTTTGTTAATAATTTAAAAAGTTTTTTGTTTTTGTGCATAATCTGGCTAAGTTTATTTTACTTTATTGTTTGGTATCTGTTATGAGATTATGTTTTTTGGTTATTTAGTCATGTTCCTTTGTTTTTGGTTAGTTATGATTAATTGGGCTGAATAATTTTTTTAAATAGGCTGTCAATGGTAGGACCAGCATGAATCTGGGTGGGCGTATGTTTTTTTTTTTACCAGCACAAGAGAAACATGGAGAAAATGTTAGTCTTTTTCTGCTTGTTTGTCTGAGGAGAAATAAAACTGAGAAAACTAAAGGAGTTTACCTGGAACATTTTCTCTTTTGCCTGCGTAAAATTAGTCCATGGTGTATCTGTGGCATTTGTGGACTTCCACTTCATTTGTGTCATCACAAAATGGGCCACAACACACGGCTTCTAATATAAAACTAGTTTAAGTTTACTTTTGATGTTCAATTGTGTTTCACAGATTTCTGCTCCCCTTCACATTATATTTTTGGAAACATGCAAACCTTTTTTGTATGATGTCCTTTGCTGTTTTTTTTTTTTTTTTTTTTTTTTTCAATCACCATAACAATCATTACTTTTTCACAAAAATGTATTTTATTTGAGAGAATATGAATGGTTGCTCCAATGATCATTCTTTTAAAAAGGCTCAGAATCATATTAAATTGGTTAGTCAGTCATAAACATGTTCATAGATTTCAACAACATTAAGTTCCTGTTATGGAAAAGCATATAGAATTGTTTTAATGCTATCTCCTGAGGTGTTTTTATAAAAAGGTCTGTTCTATTATTATTTGCTATTTTTCCTTTTGTTGATCCTATTGACAAATTGAATTTTTTCTCAAAGGGGGCTGTATGTGAAAAAATGCATGACAATTATGCTTCTTTTGTGCATGCCCTAAAAAACCCTAAAACACCCTTAAAAATTCTACTCAGCAAAAACAAAAAAACATATATTACTAAGAATAATAAAATATTAAAATAATCATCAGTATTTTATTTCAAATAAATACTATGATGATAAAGCTGCTCAATTAAGATATAAAAACGTTCTACAGTAATTCTGAGAACATTCTCAATAATTTTTTTTCTGAGATTACCCCATTTAAACCTCTCTTAATTATCAAATATTAATTATGGTGGTGTAAGGCACTGTAACTTTGATAGTAACTTTGCCTCTTATGCCTCCCTCAATTAGAAGGCATTCTATTATAGAAAAAATACTGAAAATAATGAATATTTTCCGAGTAGTTTTATAGGATCTCTGTTGACTTTATTCATTGAGGTCTAACCCCCATTTTAATCAGAAAGATTTGGAGGAAGAGATTAGTAAAGGTGCTGAATAAACACTATGATATAGTGCATATTATGATACCTAATGATACTTCAGTCGCAACTTCAGTGTTTATTTCTCACAAAGTGCATCACATGGAGGGTCTTTTCACACTGACTGGGATAGGCAACACACAAAATCACACTTTGAGTGCTATGACTAGAACTGTGAATACACATCTAAATACACATCTAAATAATATTTTGCTGTTTTTGTCCTGGAGAATATTCATAATGTCTTCATTCTTTGCACTTCAGTTGTGATTTTGGGTTCAGCATGAGCATAGACACAAAACTGAATGAAAAGTACTTTTAGTGCCATCTTTTATTTCTGTACACCAACAGAAAAATCTACTACTTTTGATATTACCCATGGTTCACTGAACAATATCTATAAACAACTACATGGATACTTTATGTAACACTTGTAGCTTTAAAAAAAAAAGAACATCTCAGATACATTTTTTACTTAACAATCTTTATTTTTTTTTAAAAACTCATAGCAAACTTTAAACATTAGCACAATAACATTTTGATGACAGAGACAACATCTTCACCATGGTTACTCTTCTTTAAGCTCTTCTTCTTTTACTTTAACATCATAATTCATTCAGTACATGGGAAATGGATCATAAACGATATCCTTCTGATATGAAATCATGTCCTGCAAAATACTTTTGAACAGTGAATTTTTCAATTAAAACCATTAAATAAAAGCAATACAAATGACCATTCATTTTATTGAATTTAGACAAAATAAATTAGTTCAACTAAAGTGTCCCAGAAGAAATGGGTCTTCTGATTGACAGTTAAAAAGCACTTTCTATTGAAGTAATCCCTGACAACAACACAATAAGTACCTTACCTCAGTAGCAAATGCTAGCAGACAAGGACGGCATAAATGTATGGTGCTTGTGACCATATTTTCCTTTTTTTTAATGTTTTGAATTAATCTAATGTAGTATGTAGAGTGGCTTAATAGTTCAGAGCATCAATAAGTATACTAATTTGTTTTTCACAGCAGCAGATTCAGAAATGAACAATTAACACTTCAAAATAAGGATAACATTATATTGTTTTTCATGTATCATGTGTTTTTGTAGTCAATATTTCTTAAAAGCTTGTCATGTTGGTCTTCAGCTTTTCACAGGAGTACAAAAACGGACACATTTATTTAAAACATAGGAAGTTCTATCACGCATCTTTTCAAAATTTATTTAGTAGGCCCATATGATTTTCTTATTAAAATTTACCATGCTCAAGTTTTTGTTTTTTTTCCCAAACTAAGACATTTGCAAACTACACAAAAAGCGTTCAAAACTCAATTCTTACAAAATAGTGAATATGATCTGTACTGCCATTGTCATGAGGCCATTTTATATTTTCTATAGCATTGATACCTTAAAGGAATAGTACACCCAAAACATGATTAGCCTTCATTTTCTACTCACCCCCATGCTGAACAAAACTCTGGAGTACTTTTTTGATATCTCAAATGCATCTGGAGATCTGGGAGGCTTCTTGCTGTCTGCTGACATTCAAATAATGGAGGTCTATGGCGCCCGAGACAGAAAGGTCCACAAAAGTCCACAAAAACTTGTCAATATTCCTCCATACTGCTCGTCCAATGTAATCCAAGTGTCCTGAGTGGGTAGCATCCAGAATTTACTCGAAACGAAGTCATTTAGAATGTTTTTAGAGCATAAACAGTAGTGTATAGGATTTCCTAATAGCGCCCCCATGCGCGCTCACGATTCTACGGAAGCCGGCAGACCAAACCAGCGCATTCAGCTCGGCAAAGAACTCATGCTCTTCCTCAACACTGAAGTCCTCAGACATTTTTCTTTCGTTGTTTCTTTCTTTGCACAGGTAAACAGCACATTTCTTCTTCTACGCTTGCATTATCGGCAGACCAGACGCTGAATGCGCACTTTCTTCCGGTTTGGTCTGCCGGCTTCCGTAGAATCGTGAGCGCGCATGGGGGCGCTATTAGGAAATCCTATACACTACTGTTTATGCTCTAAAAACATTCTAAATGACTTCGTTTCGAGTAAATTCTGGATGCTACCCACTCAGGACACTTGGATTACATTGGACGAGCAGTATGGAGGAATATTGACACGTTTTTGTGGACTTTTATGGACCTTTCTGTCTCGGGCGCCATGGACCTCCATTATTTGAATGTCAGCAGACAGCAAGAAGCCTCCCAGATCTCCAGATGCATTTGAGATATCAAAAAAGTACTCCAGAGTGTTGTTCAGCATGGAGGTGAGTAGAAAATGAAGGCTAATCATGTTTTGGGTGTACTATTCCTTTAAAAGACCCGATGTATATGTGTAGAAATAGATACCGTTTTCCTGTCAAGATGTTAGTGGCCAATTGGAAAACTGTGTGAGGCTGAATTTGACATTACTGTAGCACAATGTAGTGACCAGAGAGCCTTGTTATCTGTTGATATGAGACTCCAAAAGCTTTCTGTATTTCAGTCAGCATATAACAAGTCACAGAAATTGCATTGTTTTGAGACAGTTGATATTTTCTTAGAAGTAAATAAAGCTGTAATTATTTGGTTCTTTTAACTCTCTCAAAATTGAAAACAAGTCTTAGGTCACCTATTTGGAATGACTTTAAGACAATACAGTACAAAATATGGTAGTTTAACCTCTGTTAATGATAGCATCATTTTTGACTCAACATTAAAAAAATGCCCAGTCTAAGTTAATTTAATATACGGTCAACTATTTCACAAAAATAAGCATCTGCTCCCTCTTCCAGAAGTATGGGGTACTACATTGGATAGAGCAAATACCCAGAGAAGGAGGACTGCACATACTCTCCAGCATAAAGTCCAGAGGCCTGATCTGATGGCATCTGAATGTAAACAGTGTCCCCAGGTTGAAGAGGTAGTACTGCACTTCCCGATGCTTGATCTAAGAAACCCTTTTTATATTCATCATAAGTATACATCACAGGCTCACTGTTTCTCATCAAAGCCACCCACACATTTTCTCCCTTACAGTGAATGTGGTAGGCAAAGTAATAAATGCCAGGAATGTCACAGGTGAAAATTCCTGTCTGGGGATTGTAGTTTTGGCGGCCATTGTACAAAAGTTTATCAAAAACAACTGGGCTGCCCACAGGTGGAAAGGGTGTAGATGCTACAGCAGTAAATGCTGGCATTTCAAGGCCACTGGAACCCATTACTTCAGCCCAACCTCCACCATATTTGCCCTTCTTATCATAACTTCCAGCTTTAACACCATCTAGTCCCGGACCCATCTCAGAAAGTACTCCAGCCATTTCTGGTGAAAAAACGGGTTCACCGGGTGGTCCTGGTGGTCCAGGTGGACCAGGTTGACCTGGTTGTCCAGGGGGTCCAGATGGTCCCTCTCTTCCTGGGGCTCCTACAGGACCAGGCAGGCCAGGACTCCCAATGTCTGCAATGCCTGGTGGACCAGGAGGACCACTTTCTCCTTTGGGTCCTGTGGGACCAGTAGGCCCAATGGGTCCAACTGCACCATTTATTCCAGGGATTCCTTGAGGTCCCTGAATACCTCTTTCCCCAGGTAATCCGGCATGTCCTCTCAAACCAGGAGTTCCAGGGGGACCAGGCATACCAGCTAGACCTTTCTGGCCATCCGCACCTTTTGGACCACTTGATCCAGGTGGACCTCTTGGGCCTGGTTCTCCAAGTTCCCCAGGTAGACCATCCTTACCAGGTGGTCCTTGAGGACCAAGGTCACCCTTAGCCCCATCACGCCCTCTTGGTCCTTCATCTCCACTATCTCCTTTAGGACCAGGTGCACCTATACTTCCAGGTTCTCCAATTGGTCCTGCAGGACCTGGAGGACCATTCGGTCCAGGGAGTCCAAGCATTCCAGGTATTCCACCAATACCCTTTTCTCCTTTGGGTCCTGGGGGTCCTGCGGGTCCACCAATTCCTTTATCACCTTTTGGTCCTGGAAGTCCTTGCTTGCCAAATCCTGAAAGACCTGGCTTTCCTGGCAGACCTGGTGGTCCTGGAAGGCCCTTCTCACCTGTCCTTCCTGGCTGTCCAGGCAGACCATTTTGACCTGGCTTTCCTTGACCAGGTGGACCTGGTGGGCCAGGCTTCCCTCCTTCCCCAGCTGGTCCGGGAGGGCCTGCTTCTCCAGGATATCCTTTATGTCCTGGGGGTCCTTGTGGACCAGGTAAACCATTTAACCCTGGTTTTCCAAGACCTGGCAGCCCTCTTGGGCCAGCAGGTCCAGGAGGCCCAGGAAGTCCTTTGTAACCAGGCTGTCCAGGCAGACCCATCCCTTTGTCTCCTTTTGGTCCTGGTAATCCCGGCAGACCTGGCAGGCCTTTGTGACCCGGTTCCCCTTTGACACCTGGTTGTCCCGGTAATCCCTGTAACCCTGGTTTACCTATTCCAGGAAACCCAGGTGGTCCTTGGGGTCCCTGTGGACCTGGCGGACCATCAGGACCCTCTTCCCCTCTTGGTCCTATTTTCCCTTGAGGCCCACGCTCACCGTTTACACCTGGTTTTCCTGGCAGTCCGGGCAAGCCTAGTTTTCCCATTCCAGGTAATCCTGGTGGACCTGGAGGTCCAGGTTGGCCCTCTGGGCCAGGTAATCCATTCCCTGGAGGTCCAGGAGGTCCTGGAGGTCCCACAGGTCCAGGTGGTCCAGCTGGGCCTTGTTCTCCCTGAGGAACTCCTTCCACAGCACTAGGTATTGTTAAACCTGTGAGCAGTTGTACAGATATTAAATATAGAAATTAAATACTAAAAAATATACAGCAAAAATATTTACACTAGAAATTATTACATGAAAGAGCACCATGTTAGTATAGTATAATTCAATATGATTAATTCATTATGATCGAATAGTTAAGCCTTTTAATGTGACCAAAACACCTATGGCCAATCTGAGAATAAACAATCAGGATGTCCAGAGTTGTTCTGGGTCTTGTGCCAAATAATCTTTATACTTTGGACTATGCTAAGTGTTCTCTCTAGATTGTGGTTGCTATCCCTAGATTAAAAGTATGTACACACATCACAAGAACAGAGAAATCTGTACCAGAGGTGACAAGAAGAAGAAAAGGGTTCTTTCAAGCAAGGATATTTCATATTTAAAGCAAGAAATGAAATGCAAACTATTCAAAACCTTTAAGGGTTCCTCATATAGCAGCTTTAGTCTATGTAGAACCACAGCTACAGCACATTTCTGGTTGATCACACATCTTTTCTTGGACCCCATACAACCAAAGGTTCTGTCCCAAACACATGTTAATAACACACTCCAAGAACAGCCAAGAAGAGAGAACTAATTTCTCTGTTCTTATGAAGCATGACAACACCTTTATGAAGACACAGTAACTATGTGACCGACTGTGAATCTACTTGAGTTATCAATGAAGAGGAACTCTCATGCGGTGATCTTTTTACAAAGAGATGAGGGGTTGGTTTACACAATATTAAGGGACTTAGTCACTATTAAGTTAACATCTGTTAAACAAATTGTAGCCTAATAATTCTACATCAACTCTCAGTGGCCATATCAGTAAGCTGACTAGGGTAAGCATAGAAGGGTTTCAACCTCACCTCTAAAACAAAAATATATTATACTCTGTACAAATATGCAATGTAAGTTAATACTTTTTATATGTTTTAATTTTTAAAAATGTCTCCATATAGGCTATATGCATATAACTGATGTTGTAGTGTGTTCAGAAAGATTTCTAACCTTTTTCTTTACCACCATTGTAGTTCCCCCCTTTACGGGGATTTTCTTTGCCCTTAAGCAATGGCATCTGGGGCAGCTCCTTCCTATAGTGTGGATATTGCATGTAGGGCACTTCCTTGCCAATGTACTGTTGCTGAGGAAAACCTCTATTTCCCATGTTTATGTGTTGAAGGTGCTGCATTGGCTGGTATGGCTGAGGGTGTTGCTTGTGTCCGTAGTAAGCCCCATCAGTCACACATGGGAAGACAAAAAGCTGGAGTAGAACAGTAAGGAGGGGGCCAAGAAGGCGAGGCATGGCTAAAGCCTGTGAAGAAAGAAATAACATAATTAGATATGACAGAGCTGCTTGATCACACATTTATGTAAAAGGATTGTCCATCATTTGCAGTCCTTACATAGAACAGCACTCTGTCTCCCTCTCCTGGACATTTATAACAACTACACATGTTACTTGCTATGGTAGTCAGAAACTTTATATTAGAGTTTGCAAAAATGTTATAAATAGGCAATACAAAGGAAGAAAAAAACTTTGAAGGTTTACTTGATATAAATCCTGGTTAGTTGTTGCTGGAGGTTGTAGCCAACTGAAATTTAAAGAGAGGCCAGGAGCAAAGCAGTCTCTCCGTCTGTATTCATTTTAATTAACTGCAACCTCAAAAACGTGTAAGAAACATGTAAGCATGTATATGTTTGCTGAGTAGTTTACACAAGGGGGATAGTAAAGTTCACAAGAAACAATCGGAGCTCCATATTCCTCAAAAAGTTAACACTGCACACGAAGAAAGAAAGAAAGAAAGAAAGAAAGAAAGAAAGAAAGAAAGAAAGAAAGAAAGAAAGAAAGAAAGAAAGAAAGAAAGAAA